GTTGTTAGTAAACTACAATATGGCTCCAACCAAGTGCATGAAAGCTGAGAATATCATGCTCACAATGCTTATTCCTGGTCCAACTGCACCAAGCAATAACATTGACGTCTATCTACAACCTTTGATAGATGATCTTAGAGATTTATGGAGTGAAGGTATGGAAGTGTATGATGCACTTTCTAAAGAGACGTTTACTCTTAAAGCTATATTGTTGTGGACAATTACTGACTACCCTGCATTGGGAACATTGGCTGGATGCAAGGTGAAATGGAAACAAGCATGTAAAGACTGTGGAAAAGATACACCAAATCGGTGGCTAAAGTTCAGTAGAAAGTATGTGTATATGGGCAACAGGAAATGACTCAGACCTGGTCATCCTTTCAAAAAGAAAAAAGTTTGGTTTGACAATACTATTGAGAATGGGACTGCAAATAGAATTCAAAGTGGAGGTCAGATATTTGAGACACTCAGAGATTTTAGAAATGATTTTGGCAAGCCGGTGGATAAGAGAAGCAAGAGGAAAAGAACAGATATAACAGAAGACGAAGTGCCTGCACATGAAGAGACTGACGAAAAATCTGATCTCTGGAGGTGGAAAAAGCGGTCTGTCTTCTTTGACTTACCATATTGGAAGGTAAAACTTCATTATAATTCTTTTGTTATGTATCTGATGCATTCATATATAAATAATTACTTATGTCACTGGTTGTAGGATATGCCGGTGCGTCACAACATTGATGTGATGCATGTGGAGAAGAATGTGTGTGATGCTTTGCTGTCTTCGATGATGCATAACTGTAAATCCAAAGATGGAGGTATATTGCTGGATCCTCGGTAACTATTCCTTCCTAGTATTATAACTGAAAACATTTCTTATTCAGTAATGCTTAATATGTTGTTTTTTTCTAAACTACTTAGGCTGAAAGGTCTTCTGATGGAAGGGTTTACATTTTTGATTGGAATGAGGAAGATGAGATAATTGGTGAGGGCATATTGTGTTCTACTGACCCAAAAGACTTGGTTAACAATATACCTCTTGGACCAAATGCTGTAATTGTGAAAGTTGACGTAGTTAGTAAAGACAGTGCTTTTCTGTGGAGACCAAGTGCTGAAATGTCAGTCTTAGGTGATGCACGTAATGAGGACATCGCATGGCCAATTCATAAGATACAGTTAGTTGTCGAACCTGAGACAATACCTTCGATACCTTTCTTCTCCACATAAGTTTGTGTTCTAAATAATGATTGATGTGGTTATGCTTTTTTTAATTTGTGTTTTGGAATTCTGATTTGTAGAGTACAAGTAACAGTGCCAATAGTAGCAAAGGAGGGAAACAAAAATGTTTGTTGTTAGACTGCGATGGATCTGGAGAAACTGTTGCACAAGGTCGAGTGTCTTCAACTGATCCAGCAGAGAAGGTTCATTTCGTTCCTCTAGGCCCAAATGCGAGCAAAGTATGGTAGAATTGTCAAAGGTTGATAATGCAAGAGTGTGGAGACCAAATTCCGAAGTTGAATTCATCACCGATGCAGTGGGAACAACTGTAGCTTGGCCTAACGACAAAATAAAAATGCTGTGACATGTTTGAATTTTATGCTATAAATTTAATCTAATCTGCTTGTACTTTGGATTTATAAGCTTTAAATGGTAAAAACACATATCTTCAAATATTGTACTATGGTTTGATTAAATTTGAATGAATTCAAATTTTTAATGACTGAAAACATATCCAGAATAATTTAATTAAAGTTAACATTAGAATTTATTACTTAAATATAAAATACATATTCAAAATTTTTGAAAATAAGACTAATATATATTCATAAAGAAAAATTTCGTTTTTTAATTCACATTTAGGGTTTAGGGTTAATGTTTAGGGTTTAGAGTTAATATTTCAGGTTCTATTATGAATCATTATAATTTCTATCTATAATGTTATTAAAATAAAGTTAGAATACTTTTCATAAAATATATCATTTTATGTACTAAATTAAAATTAGTATGGTATTTCACATTTCAAAGATTTAGTCTTTAGGGGTAAGAGTTTAGAGTTTAAGGGTTTAAGATTAATGTTTAGTTTTTTATTATGAAGCATTACAATTTCTCACTCGAACTTTATAACTATAAAATTACAATGCTTTTCATACAATATATCAATATATGTAGTAATAAATTTAAAATAGTATTTTATTTCACATTTTGAAGATTTAGCCTTTAGGGTTAAGGGATTAGAGGTTTAGGGCTTAGGTTTAGGGTTGATTAGAAATTAAATATATGTTGAATTCGATTTATAATTTTCTTTTGTCATGAAATTTAAAAATAAAGTTCTCCATTATTGGAATTACTAAGTCTATAATATTTACATAATTGTAATTTTTTAAAAAAATTAAATACCTTATTTATAATTTGGAAATGTAAAATTCTTATTTTGAACAAAATGACCAATAGTTAATGAGTACTAAGATTCATTATGTGGCACCAGCTCGACCGTACGATCAATACTCTAACGCTGGGATAATAACCGTTGGATCAATAATCTTGATTTATAATCAATCTCAACCGTACGATGATATAATAGTACTCTCTTTCTCCACCGTAGGATCGATGATATTAAAACCAGAACCCCTAAATACAATGTCTTCTTCTTCGTCGCCGTATATTCATCTCACTCGAAAATCTGTATCTCAGAGTTAATCGGGTACGTTATTCTTTACATCTCTCTCATTCCATCTTCTCTCAATGTTATAGATGCTGATACATTTGTGACCGATTCGTATAGTTATATTGTTTAATTGCCGTTTCTTCTTCTTACCTCGACCATATGGTTTTGTATAAATCCTATGATTGTTATAGTTTAGGGCTTTCTTCACCGTTTCTCCTTATTCTCTCAGTCGTTTGGTTTCTCTCAGTTGTTTGGTTTAAATAAATTGCGGGTCAAACCCTAAATTTGTTTCGTATTTTGACATCAACTTTTTTGTATCTTTGATATCTTCGATATATTACAACATCATTTTAAGTAAGTATACACATCTGCTTTTTGTATCTTTAATTGGCATTTGTATATGATATCGTTCTCTTTTATGGTGTAAAGTTGAAGCATTTCCATTGCGTTTGGTCGTTTCTTGTCTGCTTAATAAAGTTGTTTTTTGTAGCGAAATTTAGTTGACTTATTTGTTCTGCTAGTAGTTAGTAGTGTTTGATACGCTTTCATTGTGTTTGATACTGTAAATATTTCCCTCCTTCATTTTGTTTGATACTGTTATTGTTAATTCCTGTGTTGCTTACAATCTGATTCAGAAATGGAAGCAAGGAAAGTAATAATCTGCGGACTCCCGGCAAAAGGAATCATACCACAGATCCGCCAACATCCACGACAAGATGCAGATGGTGAAAGAGGAAGTGATGTCGAGGAAATCACAAGAGAACAGTTCCGGAGAGCTTTAGGAACCAGCTTAGTCCGCCTTGAGGAACTCGAAGAAGACATTGCACCAGAGTACCGTCTAGCTATCAAAAGAATCATAAAGGAAGAACGTAAATCCGCTATGCAAAGACACCCCAAACAAGAAGAAGGACAGTCCTCCCGAGGCATGGCTCGTCGAGACAGCTATAAGGAGAAGAAGCAGAAAAAAGTGATTTCAAATTTGTTGGTCTTTTGTAACCTTTAACTTTTGTATTTTCATTTTAATAAATTAATTAGGTTTCTCTTTTTAAATTAAATTTATTTATATTTTGATATTTACAGAAAAATACCATTCGAAATAACCAAAAAAATGGTAAAAACAAAAAAATATTTCCGATTTCACCACATTTGAAATATAAAAAAATTTAATTTGACGACATGTGCTTAACGCTATTATATAGGTAATGGTAATACAAAAAAACGCTATTATTTACATAACTGATAATACAAAAAAATGTTATCATATATGTAATTTATAATACTAAAAACCGCTATCGTTAAATAGCATAACAAATAACCAAAACGCTATTATATACGAAGATAGTAGAGCATTATGCTATTGTCTTCAATATGTCAAACATAAAATATGACAATAGCTGTCTCGACGGGCCATGCCTCAGGAGGACTGTCTTTCTTTATAGAAACAATATAGAATAATAAAATTTAAATATTCATCTAAAAAAAAATGTAACACAAATAACACGCTATAATATAATAAAATATGACAGCATAATAACGCTGTGAAATATGTATTAATAACATTTGAACAACGTTATTAATAATACTTTTATTGCAAACCAAAAATCACTATCACATTAACCGATTTAATAGCAACACCAAAATCTGCTATCTAAAATGCTCGACCTATTATCACGGGCGATGACAGAGCACTTAACTAAACGCTATGCTATAGTTAGATAGCAGTTTTCACCCGCTACTAAAACCTGTTTTTCCAGTAGTGGAGAGTTTGTGAAAACGAACATTTTCGAGTGTTATTATCCAATTTATACGATTAGTATAGCAGTTAAAAATGAGTGCGTTTACGGGTCATTTCTGTATGGTTGACCCTAGTTGTGATAATGTTTCCATATACAATATAAAATACGTACAATAGAGGGAGAACTATTCAACAACTTAACGGATCTAAAGACTACAACGTTTGATTTGAGAAATGACAAATTGAAAAATAAGACGAGTTTCCATAACATATTAATATATACTTGGTCATTAACATTTTTCCTTAAATAACATTTTTTTGTTGGAAAATCACTAGTTATAATATTTTCTGTCAATTTTTTTCCCTTCCGTCCGTATATTCTTTTTGCTAATCTAAGCAGTTCATAAATGGACTTTCTATCCAGCTGTGTTCTTATAAGACTTTATGATAGCTACCATATTATGTATATAATATATGTATAATAAAATACTGTGATATCTTTGTATATTATTGTAACATCACAAAAATGTCAAAACGAATTCTGGATAAATTACATATATCAAAATTCCACTTTTGCCAAATTTCCCTAGACAAGACTCGATTCTCTTCCCGGCAATGTCTCCCCCGGAGTTGCAAAGAGCCAGAGAGAGCAATCCAATCCTCGAGCTTAAAATATTATCAGCCAGTGAAGTCAGCCATATAAATGCAACAGACAAGATGGACGTATACGCCGTCGTTTCAATCTCCGGAGACAATAATCAAAAGAAACAAGCGGCCAAAACACCCATTGACTTTTACGGTGGGTCTAATCCAACATGGAATCACACCGTTAAGTTTTCCGTCAACCAGGAAGCAGCCCGAATGACCCTCAAGGTCAAGTTATTTAGCTATTGGCTAGAAGGTGAGAATGACCTTTATTTGGGAGAAGTCAATGTCTCGGTTCAAGAGCTTCTTGCCTCAAATCCGTTTCCACCGTTAACTAACGGTAACGAAGGTAAACTCAAGTTGGTGACTTACCCTGTTAAAATCACGGAGAGAACCAAAGGAACGCTGAGTCTCTCGTATCAGTTTAAACCGGCTGCCCCGGTCCATGATATGTCTCCTTCGGCCCCGGATTACTCGCTATCGTTTGGTCAACCAGTGTACCCAAATCCGGATCCAGCGAGTTTTGGTCAGCCTGTCATGTATTCTCCTCAGTTTCAAACCAAACTAACCCTAGAGCTTGTGATCAAATCCGCTAAAGACATAAAAGGCGTCAGCATCCGTAATGAGATGAACGTATACGCTTCGGTTATGATCCGCGAGGGTAAGACAACAATTAAAGATACGGCCAATACCCCTATCGTCTATTGTGCCTATAGAAACCCAAGATGGGACCACGAAGTTGAGTTTTCGCTCGAGAAGAAGTTAGTTCGAGAAGGCCGTTTGACCCTCGTTGTGAAAATAATCGGCGTCCGGCCATTACTTGGCGATAAAAACGTTGGTGAAGTTGTAGTCTCCATTCAGGAGCTATTTGAATTAAACCCGCCGTTTCCTCCGTTAACTAACGGTAATGATGATCTTGGTGTGAGTTCAATAACTAGGGATGTGACGGGTCCGCACGGAGCAAAAGGAACATTGACCTTCACGTATAGGTTTTTTGTGGAGGAAGCTCCACAACCGTTTATTATGTATCCGGTTCATGGAACCTCGGGTTACGCAATTGTTCACCCGGGAGCAAATGCTGGCCCAAGCAACGGTCAACTGCCACTTTATATGCCACAGCAATATCATCAGTCACATGGCTACCAACAATATTCATCACAAGAATTGGAACTTGAACCACATAAGCCACATCAGCCTCAACCACAACCGCTCCACAAGCCACTACTGCATACACAATCACAAGCACAACCATATCAGTCACATGGATACCAACAATATTCACAACCGCAAACACAGAAGCAGCAGTCTCAACTCCAACCGCTCCATCAACCACTAGCGCATACACAATCACAATCACAGCCATACCAACAATATTCGTCACCGCAACCACAACAGCAACTACTACCACAACAACTTCCACCAATGCAACAGCCAACACAATCAGAGTCACAAGCACAAGCTGCACGACCGACAACAAAGCCGCAAGAAGGGACTATTGCAGCCTTAGGGTTAGGGACGGCGATAATGGGACGAGTGATAGGTGGAGCTTTAATGGGTGAAATGATGTCCGATGAAGGAAACGTGTATGAGGCTGAGGCCTGATGGCTTAGTTTAATTCCATGAGTTTTGTACTTTTGTTTATTCTAATTTCGTTGTTCTATTTTATATTTTTTGGGGTTTGTGGATTCTTTTGTTTGTTTTTTTCCCCATTGTTTGCCCTTGTTTCTATTGACCAGCTTAAGTGAGATACGTGCGTGACATTTATTCGATTATTTGTTTGTTCCTAATGGGTATAAGATGAATTATATCATCAAAGACTTTTGTTTTGTATGTTAATTAGAAATTAACCCGCGTAATATATACGCGGGATTATAATATCTTAAATAATATTTTAATAATTAGTTTTAAATTTTAGTTCATAAATTTTATCGGTATATATAAATATGCCTATAGTTATATCATGCAAAAATTTTACATTCATCAAATAGAAATTTAATTTATTGTTGACTGATGAATTTTATCATATTTTTAAATAATAATAATAAATAGTATAAATAAAGCAAAATAAACTGTTTATTAATAATTGAGTTTTGTAGTCTGTTCGCAAACTATAAAAATTAAATTTATCTTCTTTAAAATAGTATAATTTTTGTAAAACTTAGGTTTGATATATAAAAAATAAAAATAAAAAAATAAGTTATATTATTTAGTAGATTGAATATATACCACCTATTTTAAAAATTAATATTTGGAATCGCAAGATTTGTTTTGGATATTAAAAAATTAGAATCATAATCTTTTCATATCAAAGTAATCCGTCTATATAACTTATTTGTATTTTATTAGAATATAACTTAAAAAACAATTTTAATATATGTTCTTTAATGATTCACACTCCAAAAAAAAAAAAAAATCGTGTCAAATTTTTTGGTAAAAATAATTTTTATCTATAATCAAGTAACATAACAAATTATACTTATACAAAATTTCACCATTTTTCAATAACATAATTTTAATCTTGAATTTTTAAATAAATAACATAAGAAATTGTCATATTTTTTAATTTAGAAATGTAAATATACTCAAATATATGAGAAACAAAAACTTTCTATATTGTTTTAAATAGATTTGAAAGACAATTATATCCTTTCCTATTTTAGTTATTTTTGTTATTTGTAATGACATTTCATGTAATAACTTACATATTTAAGTTCATTTTTAAAAATGTGTACTCAAATAATAATATAGAGATATAATTTTGAACAAGAATTGTCTCACAAAATTAAAAAGAAGGCTTCTACTTAATTATTTGCTCCAACATGGTCGAATTTGATGTCCAAAACTAGTGAGTGTATAGTATAACTGGTCGAATTTGAAGTCCAAAATTAATTTTGTGAGACAATTCATCAGTGTATAACTGGTCGAATTTGATATCCAGAACTAGTGAGTGCATATGTTCAGGTTAAATCTAAACTTCATACAATTCAACAAAAAGCTCGAATCCAAAAAAAAAAAAAGGCCCAGATCAAACACACAAAATGTGTAAATTCAGTATCTTTTAAAAGAGCATTGATATGAAAACATTGATTTCTTACTACACGGTTCTCTATAATTTTTGGCTTTTACAAATCGTGTCGGTTATAAAGACAAAAATGGCGATGATGATTTTTAAGAATAGTTTAAGGCTTTTTTTAACTTTAAAATTACTAGAGCCTTATTGGTTAAAATATAACTTGAAAAAGATAATCTATTTTGAAATCCTTACAGCCTTTAAAGTCAATTTGACAAGCAAAACAAATTTCAATCTTCACTTGTCAGGTTAATTAATTAGTAAAAGCAATAGATGCAATCAAGCCAATAAGAACTCGAACCACTTGAAATAATTCAATACATGTTTATATGAGATCTCGGGTATTATAGGTAACTAAGATTTAATTATATTTGAAATTATGCTGAAAAATTAGTAAATATCATCATATAAGTAGACATTAAATACAACAATCGTCGCAAACAACTTGACATTCGCAAAAGACGCATATTTTTAGGCTGAGGAGTGCAATTACAGTTCTTAGGCATCTCACTTGCACTTCGTGCAGCCAAAAAGTCAAGTAAACAAGTGGTGCATGGACTCCCTTTATCTGTGCATGATCCATTGAACACTTGTCTCGAACGACAGTAAACTGGTTCATGTGTTGCTGCAACACTTGGTTCTTCTATTTTGTTATACATGTCAGAAAAAAAACAGACGAATAGACTTAGTAATTCAAAATATTTATTTTTAACCCAAACAGTTTTTCTGGTGAACCAAAATATGCATTTATATATTTCTATATATATATATATTTATATATGATATGTATATATAAGAGGAATACCACTAACTGAATTTATTATATATCCAAAAGATTTATTTATTTATCTGCAAATTATCTCTTCTGTAGTCTTTTTCATCCGAATTTAATGCTATTTTTTGGGTAATACTGAATATTTTTTGTTTAGTACGTTATCTTTAATACTAGATGATACACTATTTTTTAACATACAAAGAATTTACACACAAATTCATAATCTCTTTTGGTTATGGTTTTACCCTATTACTTTTTACCAATTTGAAGTAAAATTTGGCAATCTAAAAAAGAAGCCCTATTTATATATTTCGTATTACCTTGTGATAAGTGGGCGGGGAGAAGAGAAAGGACACAAAAAACCAAAAAAATTGCAGCAACCTTCATCTTTTGTTTCTCTTTATTTATTTATTTTTTTTTAATTGTTATCTTTGGATTGATTGTATGTTATAGATTCAGCCTGTAATTGGTTTTTATAATGCAACTTGGGTGCACCTCAATTTTTTTTTATGGAAAGAAAATGTTAACGTTTACCATATTTAGTTTACGTCATTTTAGTCAATTCTGTATTGAAAAAGTCATCGGAACACCTCTGTGTTATGGTATAACATTTATTGTTTTTATATTATTTAGAATAACTATATTGCTGTAAAAAGGAAATGCGTAGAATTAGGAAATACTTATTAAAATGATAAATGAAAGTTCCATGAGTGATATCCTTACAAAAAGGTAAAAACTATGATTTTCTCTTTTGGCAGAAAAATAATGTTGTGTCATTTAAATTTAAAAATAAACACATTTCTTAAAAGTATAGCTTAAAATGTCCACTTTACTTCAATATCAGTTATTATATAAAATACAAAAACCATTTCCTTCTTGATTTCATGCATGATTCATCTCGTTTTTTTCTTTGTTAGATTGATTTGACTTGATTATAAGCTTTTACGAGGACACGTGACAACATCTATGTATATATAACAGGAATTTGATATTGATAAAGAGAAAAATTAAGATCATGCTTATTGATATAGATAACAATCAAAGTACGTACATGGTACAATTTTTTTTTTCTCAATTGAGGCCTTAATGATTAGAATCGTGGATGACGAAGAGAAAACTCACTAAAAAGTAGAAGACATTGTGAAAATTAAATGGAGAAAGTCCAAAGCCTAATTATAATCAACAAATCGAAATAATAATTTAATTGTTGCAAACAACAAAACAGTCGCATCGACGGCGGTTTTGAGGAAGAGGAGTGCATTTGCAATTCTTAGGCATAGCACTTGCACTCTTTGATCCCAAAAAATCTAAAAAACATGTGTAACTTGGTCTTCCTCTGTCTGTGCACGACCCATTGAACACATCCTTTGATGGGCACCACTCTAACTCTGCTGATATTTAAATTATTTGTTAATTAGATTGTGCTGCATGCGGCACATTTTGAACCGATATTTGGTGGAACTGGTATTAATAAATTGGTTTCATCTGAAAATCTGAGCATCATACCTTTGGCAAGGTTGGTTGAGAGAAGGGAGAAAAGAAAGCATAAAATCAATAATAAGATGGCAACGCCTTTCATCTTTGCCTTCGTCTTCTTCTTTTGTTTCTGCTTCTTTGTGTGTGCTGTGAGTTTACAAGAGATTTATTATTTCTACAAATATATAAAGGAACAGTAAATGCATAAATTTTGCTATATTTTGTGATGATAAATTCCTGAAAATCTGGTGTGTTTATGGTAAAAGGGTATATTTGTCATGCATATATAATATATATGGCTCAGTCAAATATTGTCGATATTCTTTTCTATACATACATACTGTATAACACTCAAATGTTAAATCAATCAATTTAAATAATAATTAATAGAAACAAAAAAATGCAAGATTCAAATCTTAGTTTGCCAACAAAAGAGACTCAAATCGTCGTAATCCAAAGTTTCCATATTTCATGATTTTCATCTTCTGTTAATGACCAAAGTCCTCCCATCGTCAAGTTGATAATGAAAGCCACGTCCCATAAATAGATAGAATAATAGAAGAAATCGAACAATTAAATTCTAAGAAGCAAGGAAAGATGGAAGAGGGTGTTATTCTTTTTATGTAATCGTAATTGGTTTGGAAATCTATAAAAGGTTTCTATATTCTTGTAAAATTTACTGATTTTAAAATTTACTATTCTCTATAGGAATACAAATAGATCGGTTCGAAAAAATCTCAAATGTACAACTTACAGCCTACAACCCTACAACATAACCATTTTGAATATATTTTTTCTTTTGATACGCATAAAGTTGTTACAAGTAATAGAGCCGGTCTATCCAGTTATATCTGTCACTACAACGGACTGCAATTATACTTTTAGGTAGTTTACTCCTTAAGTTTATAGACATCGTTTAAAGGAGTAAACTACCTAAAAAGTATGATTGCAAGATATTCTTTTTAAGCGATGTCTATAAATTTAAGGAGTAAACTACCTAAATTTTTAAAAGAGCTTGTGATCAAATCCGCTAAAGACATAAAAGGCGTCAGCATCCGTAATGAGATGAACGTATACGCTTCGGTTTTGATCCGTGAGTGTAAGACAACAATTAAAGATACCGCTAATACCCCTATCGCCTATTGTGCCTATAGAAACCCGAGATGGGATCACGAAGTTGAGTTTTCGCTCGACCAGAAGTTAGTTCAAGAGGGCCGTTTGACCCTCGTTGTGAAAATAATCGGCGTCCGGCCGCTACTTGGAGATAAAAACGTTGGTGAAGTTGTAATCTCCATTCAGGAGCTATTTGAATTAAACCCGCCATCTCTCCGTTAACTAACGGTAATGATGATCTTGGTGTGAGTTCAATGACGAGGGATGTGACGGGTCCGCACGGAGCAAAAGGAACATTGACCTTCACGTATAGGTTTCTTGTGGAGCAAGCTCCACAACCGTTTATTATGTATCCGGTTCATGGAACCTCGGGTTGCGCAATTGTTCACCCGGGAGCAAATGCTGGCCCAAGCAACGGTCAACTGCCACTTTATATGCCACCACAATATCATCAGTCACATGGATACCAACAATATTCATCACAAGAATTGGAACTTGAACCACATAAGCCACATCAGCCTCAACCACAACCGCTCCACAAGCCACTATTGCATACACAATCACAAGCACAACCATATCAGTTTCATGGATACCAACAATATTTACAACCGCAACCACAGAAGCAGCAGTCTCAACTCCAACCACTAGCGCATACACAATCACAATCACAGCCATACCAACAAGGCAACAATATTCGTCACCACAACAACTTCCACGAATACAACAGCCAACACAATCAGAGTCACAAGCACAAGCTGCACGATCGACAACAAAGCCGCAAGGAGGGACTATTGCAGCCTTGGGGTTAGGGGCGGCGATCGTGGGACGAGTGGTAGGTGGAGCTTTAATGGGTGAAATGATGTCCGATGAATGAAACGTATATGAGGCTGAGGCCTGATGGCTTAGTTTAATTCAATGGAGTTTTGTACTTTTTTAAATTCTAATTTCGTTGTCCTATTTGATATTTTTTGGGGTTTGTGGATTCTTTTGCTTGTTTTTTTTTTCTCGCTTGTTTGCCCTTGTTTCTATTGACCCAGCTTAAGTGAGAGACGTGCGTGACATTTATTCGATTATTTGTTGATTCCTAATGGGTATACGATGAATTATATCGTCAAGGACTTTTGTTTTGTAAGTTAATATAATTTTGAACAAGAATTTTCTCACAAAATTAAAAAGAAGGCTTCTACTTAATTATTTGCTCCAACGTGGTATATTTTTAGAGTATAAGTGTATAACTGGTCGATCTGATGTCCAAAACTAGTGAGTGCATATGTTCAGGTTAACTCTAACCTTCATATAATTCAACAAAAAGCTCACCCAAAAAAGAAGAAGCTCAGATCAAATACATAAAATGTGTAAATTCAGTATTTTTTTTAAAAGAGCATTGATATGAAAACATTGATTTCTTACTACACGGTCCACCATAATTTTTGGCTTTTACAAATCGTGTCGGTCATGAAGACAAAAAATGGTGATGATGATCTTTAAGAATAGTTTCAGGATTTTTAACTTTAAAATTACTAGAGCCATATTGGTTAAAATATAACTTGAAAAAGTTAATCTATTTTGAAATCCTTACAGCCTTTAAAGTAAATTTGACAAGTAAAACAAATTTCAATTGTCACTTGTCAGATTAATTAATTAGTAAAAGTAATAGACTGGAACCACCTGAAATAATTCAATACATGTTTATATGAGATCTCGAGTATTATAGGTAATTAAGATTTAATTATATTTAAAATTATGCTGAAATATAAGTAAACATCATCATATAAGTAGACATTAAATACAACAATCGTCGCAAACAACTTGACATTCGCAAAGACGCATATTTTTAGGCTGAGGAGTGCAATTGCAATTCTTAGGCATCTCACTTGCACTTCGGGCAGCCAAGAAATCAAGCAAACAAGTGGTGCGTGGACTCCCCTTGTCTGTGCATGATCCACTGAACACTTGTCTCGAACGACAGTAAACTGGTACCTGTGTTGTTGCAACACTTGGTTCTTCTGTTTTGTTATACATGTCAGAAAAAAAACAGACGAATAGACTTACTAATTCAAAATATTTATTTTTAACACAAACCTTTTTCCTGGTGAACCAAAATATACATATATATATGCATTTATATATATTTATTTATGATATGTATATATAAGAGGAATATCACTAACTGAATTTATTATACCCAAAATTTTTATTTATTTATCTGCAAATTACCTCTTCTGTAGTCTTTTTCATGCTATTTTTTCGGTAATACGCAATATTTTTTGTTTAGTACGTTATTTTTAATACTAGATGATACGCTATTTTTTAACATGCAAAGAATTTACACACAAATTTATAATCTCTTTTGATTACGGTTTTACCCTATTACTATTTTTTACTAGTTTGAAGTAAAATTTGGCGATCTAAAAAAAAAGCCCTATTTAAATATTATTACCTTGTGATAAGTGGGCGGGGAGAAGAGAAATGACACAAGAAACCAAAAAGATTGCAGCAACCTTCATCTTTTGTTTCTCTTTATTTTATTTTTTAATTTTTATTGTTGGAATGATTGTATGTTATAGATTCAGCCTGTAAATTGGTTTTTATAATGCAACTTGGGTGCACCTCAATTTTTTTATGGAGATTCAGCCTGTAAATTGGTTTTTATAATGCAACTTGGGTGCACCTCAATTTTTTTATGGAAATACAATGTTAACGTTTACCATATTTAGTTTAAGTCATTTTAGTGAATTCTGTATTGAAAAAGTCATGTGAACACTTCTGTTTTATGGTATAACATTTATTGTTTTTACATTATTTAGATTAACTATATTGCTATAAAAATGAAATGCGTAGAATTAGGAAACATTTTTTTTAAATGATAAGTGAAAGTTCCATACGTGATATCCTTACAAAAAGGTAAAAACTATGATTTTCTTTTTTGGTAGAAATATAATGTTGTGTCATTCAAATGTAATAATAAACACATTTCTTAAAAGTATAATATTATTTAAAAATAAACATATTTCTTCAAAGTATAGTTTAAAATGTCCCCTTTACTTCAATATCAGTTATTTGATATTTTTTGGGTTTGTGGATTCTTTTGTTTGTTTTTTTTTTCCGCTTGTTTGCCCTTGTTTCTCTTGACCCAGCTTAGGTGAGATATGTGCGTGACAAGAAAAGGCGATGATGAAAACATTGATTTCTTACTACACGGTTCTCCATAATTTTTGGATTTTTTAAATCGTGTCGGTCATGAAGACAAGAAATGGCAATGATGATTTTTAAGAATAGTTTAGGATTTTTTAACTTTAAAATTATTGATTAAAATATAACTTGAAAAAGTTAATCTATTTTGAAATCCTTACAGCCTTTAATTAAAGTCAATTTGACAAGCAAAACAAATTTCAATTGTCACTTGTCAGGTTAATTAATTAGTAAAAGCAATAGATGCAATCACGCTAATAAGAACTCGAACCACTTGAAATAATTCAATACATGTTTATATGAAATCTCGGGTATTATAGGTAACTAAGATTTAATTATATTTGAAATTATGCTGAAAAATAAGTAAATATCATCATATAAGTAGACATTAAATACAACAATCGTCGCAAACAACTTGACATTCGCAAAGACGCATATTTTTAGGCTGAGGAGTGCAATTGCAATTCTTAGGCATCTCACTTGCACTTCGTGCAGCCAAGAAGTCAAGCAAACAAGTGGTGCGTGGACTCCCTTTGTCTGTGCATGATCCACTGAACACTTGTCTCGAACGACAGTAAACTGGTTCCTGTGTTGCTGCAACACTTGGTTCTTCTGTTTTGTTATACATGTCAGAAAAAAAAACAGACGAATAGACTTAGTAATTCAAAATATTTATTTTTAATACAAACAGTTTTTCTGGTGAACCAAAACATACATTATATATATATATTTTATGATATGTATATATACTATATATAAGAGGAATACCACTAACTGAATTTATTATACGGTTATACCCAAAAGATTTATTTATTTATCTGCAAATTATCTCTTCTGTAGTCTTTTTCTTCCGAATTTCATGCTATTTTTTCGGTGATACGCAATATTTTTTGTTTAGTATGTTACCTTTAATACTAGATGATACGCCATTTTTTTAACATACACAGAATTTACACACAAATTCATAATCTCTTTTGGTTATGGTTTTACCATATTACTTTTTACCAATTTTGAAGTAAAATTTGGCAACATACAAAGAAACACACAAATTCATAATCTCTTTTGGTTATGGTTTTATCCAATTACTTTTTACCAATTTTGAAGTAAAATTTGGCGATCTAAAAAAGAAACCCTATTTAAATATTATTACCTTGTGATAAGTGGGCGGGGAGAAGAGAAAGGACACAAGAAACCAAAAAGATTGCAGCAACCTTCATCTTTTGTTTCTCTTTATTTTATTTTTTATTTTATTTTTTATCTTTGGAATGATTATATGTTATAGATTCAGCCTGTAAATTGGTTTTTATAATGCAACTTGGGTGCACCTCAATTTTTTTGGAAATACAATGTTAACGTTTACCATATTTAGTTTAAGTCATTTTTGTGAATTCTGTATTGAAAAAGTCATGGAAACACCTCTGTTTTACGGTATAACATTTATTGTTTTTATATTATTTAGATTAACTATATTGCTATAAAAATGAAATGCGTAGAATTAGGAAATAGTTTTTAAAATGATAAATGAAAGTTTCATAAGTGATATCCTTACAAAAAGGTTAAAACTATGATTTTATTTTGTAGTAGAAAAATAATGTAGTGTTATTTAAATTTAAAAATAAACACATTTCTTAAAAGTATAATATTATTTAAAAATAAACACACTTCTTAAAAGTATAGTTTAAAATGTCCCCTTTACTTCAATATCAGTTATAATATATAAAATACACAAACCATTCCTTCTTGATTTCATGCATGATTCATCTCGTTTTTTTCTTTGTTAGATTGATTTGAATTGATAATAAGCTTTTACGAGGACACGCGTACGTGACAACTTTTATATAACAGGAATTTGATATTGATAAAGAGAAAAATTAAGATCATGCTTATTGATATAGATAACAATCAAAGTACGTACATGGTAACAGTTTTTTTCTCAATTGAGGCCTTTTAATGATTAGAATCGTGGATGATGAAGAGAAAACTCGCTAAAAAGTAGAAAAGACATTGTGAAAATTTAAATGGAGAAAGTCCAAAGCCTAATTATAATCAACAAATCGAAACAATAAATTAATTGTTGCAAACAACAAAACAGTCGCATCGACGGTGGTTTTGAGGAAGAGGAGTGCATTTGCAATTCTTAGGCATAGCACTTGCACTCTTTGATCCCAAATAATCTAGAAAACATGTGTAAGTTGGTCTTCCTCTGTCTGTGCACGACCCATTGAACACATCCTTTGATGGGTACCACTCTAACTCTGCTGACATTTAAATTATGTGTTAATTAGATTGTGCTGCATGCGGCACATTTTGAACCGATATTTGGTGGAACTGGTATTAATAAATTAGTTTCATCTGAAAATCTGAGGACCATACCTTTGGCAAGGTTGGTTGAGAGAAGGGAGAAAAGAAGGCATAAAACCAATAATAAGATGGCAACGCCTTTCATCTTTGCCTTCGTCTTCTTCTTTTGTTTCTGCTTCTTTGTGTGTGCTGTGAGTTTACAAGAGATTAATTATATATATATATATATATATATATATAAGAACAGTAAATGCATAAGTTTTGCTATATTTTGTGATGATAAATTCCTGAAAATCTGGTGTGTTTATGGTAAAAGGATATATTTGTTATGCATATATAATATTATATGGCTCAATCAAATACTGTCGATATTCTTTTCCCCATACATACATATGTACTTGTTATAACATTCAAATGTTAAATCAATCAATTTATTATATAACTAGGATAGTACCCGTGCTGTGCACGGGATGAATGTTATCTTTTATACAGAAATCATGAAGTACTATAATGTATGTATACAGGATGTTGAATGATATTTGATTAATTGCACATTTTGTAGTATTTGAAACAGAATTTATTTTAAGTGTTTATTTATGTTAGTACCATATTGATATAAGATAAATGGACTTTTTATAGTTGACTAACTATTTATTGATTTGTTTTGTATTTTTTTGTTTTTGATAGTTTTCCTTTTTGTAATATACAGAAATGAATGAAATTAACCGATTACTAATATTCATAAATATCTATATTATGCTAATAATAAGAAACAATTACCAAATAAATTAAAGTGTATTATGTAAAGGAAGACAGAATTAATATGTTCGACTATTAATGTTAATATTATATTTTGGTATATTATTTACAACCATTAGAAAGAATAATATCCAAGTTTAAAAGGAAAAAAAATTATAATAACAGAGTGAAGCATCGATGACATCGAAGATCTAGTGATGTGATAGAGAATAATGGTCTTCTCGAAGTTTTAGCTTTCTCTTTCAATTATGGGAATCATTGTTGCTGTTTGCAGAAGCTGTCAGAAGTGAAGATATGATACTATATAATATATTCATAGAGTTTTGTTGTAGTTTTCCTACTGTTGAAGTTGTATTAATTATATTCAGAATTTATTTGGTTTGAGCATAGTTTTTAGTTGAATATACTTAAACTTATTCGACCTATCTTTCTCTTTTAGTATCTTAAAGCTGATTCATATATTCTAGATATCGGAGATAAAAACTGAGGTTCTATTCTATAATCTAATTTCCCTGGTTTTTAGCTAACCAAATGTTTTTAAAAACATTTAGATTACTGAATATAATTTTCTATTATCTAAACTACCACAACTTTAGAAATAACAGAATAAACAGTAATTCGAAAATAAAAATACGTTCTTAATAAGTAGGAATTAAGCAGCAAATATCCAAAAGGATCCACAACAAAACATACGATAAGTTTAAAGTTTTAACAGAAATAGAAAAGTTCAACATCACACCATAGACATAGAAAATAAAAATAAAAACATCACACCATAGACATAGAAAAGTTCAACATCACAACATCACACCATAGAAAAGTTCAACATCACAACATCACACCAACAGAAATAGAAAAGTTCAACGCAACAGATGATGATCCATCTCTAGTCCACATTAGTTGCGCAAGTTCTTTAAGTTGAAGACGCAGCCATCATTTTTTTGGTAATCCTGCAAAATATGAATGACGACTTAATTATATAAAGTTTGAGTTTTAGTAAAGTAAAAGGAAAGATATTTGAATGCTTACTTGTTCCTGAACTTTGAAACTTGATCGATGGGTGGAGCAAGTAAGAAGCGAGAGAAGCCAGTGTTTTCATGTTCATGGATAGTCAGTTCATCTAAACAGATCACATAAATTATATGAGAAATTGCATGTATCTCCAAATTACATATAATTTGATAAAATGATATAGTACAAATATATACATACCGATATTCTTCTTAACTGTCCAGTCAGTTAAAACACAAATAGCGAAGGGACCTGTGAATCCTTTACATCTTTCTTTGATGTCCACAGAAAAGTCACCATATGCAA